CGGGAAGTGTTGACTAGGCAACGTGAGCGGGAAAGTTTGACATCGATGCCCATCGGCCGTGCCGAAAATCCGAAACTTTGCCCAATTTACGAAACAATTAATCCGAGAATTCTTTTGTTTTTGTGATTTCTACGGTTGTTAATGCTCTCTCTATCTGTGCAAATATTAGCAATGTAGTCCGCATAGGCCAGAATGTGAACCTCTTGCGCATTCAAGGTAAAACCGCGAACATGCTCGCTTTGAATGATACTCCAATATAATGGTTCAATATACAAGGCAAACTGTAATGGCGAAGGCGGAGAGCCTGGCCTAACAGAAGATTTTACAGGAATACGTTCAGTGACTCGTTTAATAATTAAAAGAGTCGTTGTGCAATTATAATGTGCGATTTGTACTCCTTCAAAAATAATGGGTCCTATATCGATATGCTTCAAAATTTGGCTTAGAACGGCATACGACAACCCGGTCGAAGGCCTTTTCCAAGTCAACTTCTAACATGGCCACTTTGATCAGTTCAGTATCACAGCCCTTCAAGATACTGCGCGCAACGTGAATGCTGGTCACAATAGTCCGGCCTTGTGTGCCGCATGTCTGATCAGGCCTAACAACACTCGTTATGACGCGCTGCAAACGACGACCGAGGACATTATTTAGTATTCTGTAGTCAATATTATTAAGGTTTCTGACGGTAGGAGTTAACACGGCGAAGCTTAACGGGTCGTCAAATTTTTGGATTAACACAGTGTGGTGTCCGTGAGCAGGAGGGGGGTTAGAACTTTTCTTTTATATGCCTCGGTAAAAACGTCGGGCTGAAAAATGTCAAATATGAACAAAGGTAGAAACACCGAAAAACTAACACCACTAAATTTGAGGATGAATAAACTCCGAAAACACACAACCCTACATGTCAATAATAATAAAAAAAAAAAAAAATGACAAAAGGCGATTTGCTGAACTGTGGTTCTGGTAAAAATTCGAAACCGATAAGCAAAGAGAATGGTAAAAGGCACGCGGCTCAAGTTCACCGGTAACATTTATTGTCAGTTTCCAGCCGTTTAAAGAATATACAGTCATCATCAAGAGTCGTCCGCATGACGTCAGTCTAGACGTCACAACAAACGACTGTCACGCGCAGATTTGCCTTGTTCGCATGCATATTATTGTCATTTTTTATTTTAATCAAAAGTGAGTGTCTTAATGCGTTTAAAATTGCACAGGCTGCAGAAACCTTTAAGGGGCCCTGCAATAATGTTTAACCGTTTACATTTTTTTTTTTTTTGCGGTTTCCACGTTTCGTGGGATTCGGGCAAGCCAGCGGGCACGCAGAGAGTAACTAAATATCAGTGCGTCATGTTTTAACTGGACGACGCGGAAACCTCCTCCACCTACGGGGGCAACCCGCGTTGCCGAAAGCGCGCGAAATGTGACGTCTTTGGTCCTGGGTTTGCTCCTAGTCAGAGCCGCTAAAAGATTCTTTTTAGTCAAAATACAAAATATAAGTGGCGCGAGCCGTTTCTACTATTTATAAAAATAGTTTTTGCTCGGCATTTTAGATCAGAAAAGAAACAAATGCAGTTTATTAAGTACGATACAACAAATGAACCGTCGACATACCCGCCACCAAGCGGTGGAAAAGGCGGCGCATGCTAGAAAGGTGTAGTGGGATGAAGCAACGGCGACTGGCAAGCGTAGAAAGGTCCCGGATGTACGCGGCGGCGCTGCACTCGAGGATCCGGCCGGTTTTGAGCGTTCCGAAGGCCTTTGGCGAGCAGCTTTCGCTTGCGGTTTGGCCTTTTGGCGGTATGGCAGCGCGAAGTGGCTCCCGTTCTGAACTTATCTTTGCCGCGTGTTTGCTGTGGTTTCGGGCCAATGAAGTGTCATGCCGAATTAGTGTTTAATCGCGCAGCAAATGGAATGCGAGCCGCCCTGGCCGCCCGCTTCATACAGCCTATCTAGAACATGCTTCAGTGGTGCCCTCTCGAGCTGTCGACACGAAGTGCGGCAGCCGTGAGCACTCGCTAAGCTCAATACCCTTCGCCTAGTTCACGGCCTCTCAAGCAACCAAGGACGTCATGAAGGATGTTATTGTTTGCTTGTTTTGTGATTTTAATTTGCTTATAACTTTTAAAATAAAGCGAAATTCGAGAAAAGAAAAGTTTTATTAAGTTACTACGTTCAGTGCGCTCAGGTTCGGTGCAAATTAAGAACCAGTAAAAACGTCCTTGCAGGGCCCCTTTAATAGAAAACGCATCGACACACTTTTTACACGTTTGAATCATTGTTTAGGACCGTTCCATTTAATGCAAAGAGCGTCAAAAGTATAAAGACTATTATAAATAATATATAGCTTAATTCGAAAGCAATAAACCTGCTCGCTCGTAGGTCACTACAGAATGAGGTATTTCTCAGGAATAACAACGTAAAGACCCTTTTTGAGTTATAGTTGTGGCTTCTCAGACTCTCGCGCTATCTATATGGAATAACCTTGCTTCGGAAGTTTAAGATTACTGACAAAATGCTTTTTTAAAGAATGTGAAAATTCCAATTTCATATTGGTGCGTAAACTTTTTATTTCTAGCTTTTCGTCTACGGCATTATTGTTACTGCATTATTCGTATGAGGAAGGTTTGAAGCAACCAGAAACAAATGAATGCTCTCGCATATATATTTTTCTTGATAACTCACAGAAAATGAGTGGCTCGCGACACCTTAAATTGAAATGTTACGATTCATATCGATTTTATTCCTCCAACAATAAACTACAGTTAGCGTTTGAAAAAATAGGTTTAACTTTTCAGTGCAGTAAACGCATCCTTATAGCAATATTCCCTATGTTTCGCGCGATTTTGAAAAAAAAAATGAAAATCATTTGTTTGACAAGAACAATGAACGGACAGGTCTCTAGTCCTTCTCTTTCGATTGTGATATTTAGACGTTTTTGGGTCCCTCTAGCTTGCTTGGTTCCCTTTTTACCTAGAATGTCCTGGAAATTTCTACTTTTATTTTTTATTTCTTTCACCTCTCTTTGACCCAGCAGCCTGCATTTCCAAATAAATAAATACAGTAATAATCGTAATCATATAGAGTTTGAACATTGCATAAGTGCTCCTTCTGCGGCGTCAGTAAACAAACTTTTTTTTTCTACTTCTGCGTGTTTTTATTTTTTGAGCGGTGCGCCGCTAACTTCCAAGTTCGCTCCTCTGCTGTCGTCTTGTTGAGCACGTTCGAAAACGACTATGGACTCAACACTCTTCATATTTAAGACAGCATGAAAGAACTCTCGCGAAATTGTCACGTCCGGAATTAATTTGCTCGTTGAAGCGAAAATAAGTAAAATAAAACTTATCCGGCATTTACGCAATACAATAATTTTCGATGCAGAGTGAGTTCCACAGAACACGAACACTTAATTGGGAAGGCTTTCAATATTCAAATTGTAAATGGACAAACCTGAAATTCGGCACGCGAACGTCGTTTGGCAAAACGTTTTGTCTTTTATTTTTGTAGCTGGAACTAAAAAACTTATGTAAATCCCCCCTCCCCCCCCAAAAAAAAACAAAAAAAACTGCCGGTTGTGTTGTTTTTATATTTTATATCGGCATGCTTCTTGCCTGCCTAATAACTGCCCAGAGGGCATTTTACGTCCCTAGGACATCCCACGTTCGTCTCACTTCGGACATTTAGACGTCCACCGGATGTCCATTTACGTCCGAAAGACATTCACCGGATGCCCATCGGACCAGTGATTCCAAGAACTCGGAACATGGCACGGCTCATCCATGGGACGTCCAATGACGGATGTACGGACATTTGTTGGAACAGCCACCGAATGACCCTCCTGTGCAATAATATTGCATTTTCTTTACAAAAGTGTTAATGCATGACATTTGTCATTCTCTCCAACATTGTTACAATTATTGTTTGCTCTTTCTGCGCTCCTGTTTTGTGTAGTACTATTGTTGAGCTATTTGTCTGCACTATATATGAAAAATTCCCATAAACGTGTTTCGATGATATCATGCACTAGTGTATTCCTGCATTAAACTCACTCCAGTGCTTCGCTTCAGTTGGGTTTGCGTGCATGCAAACCTATCAGTAAAGCGTAGCATCGGAGTGAATTCAATGAGGAAACAAATTTGCCCATGATAACATCGGAGCATGTCTATGTGAATTTCACATATATAGTGCAGAAAGATACCTCGACAATATTACTTCACCAAGCTTGAGCTCAGAAAAAAAGATTGAAATATACCAAGAGTAGGTTTAGTCTTTGCTCCAGTAAGCTAAATTGCGACAGTATGTCTGCAAGTTAACCAAGACAAGTGACATTTCTCTTAAAACTTTATTGCATATTCAATTAATGTAACTGTTCTTTGCTTATGGGCCTTCATTATCACAAATAAATACAAAAATATAGATGTTCGCAGAGCTAGAAGACTTACAGGGGCACTTAAGTGGATTCTGAGATCTTCTATTCATTGTCATCACCCAATCTGCAGGCTCTAAGCATCCTAAAAACCCCAAAATCACATTCAAGAGTGGCCCATTTCCCTATTAAAAGTCCAATCAAATATTGTGCCACACCCTTCTTTCTACACCGTGGTGCAGAACACCAAGGGGCACCACTGGACGGGAAGGCAGCTACGGAGGGCACGCGACAGCCAATCACGATTGACGGTTTCTAGGCAAACTGGTTGTTCGAAGGGGCGCGTATTCGAAAATTTAGTCCACAGGGAAGCCGTCAACCGTGATTGGCTGTCGCGTGCCCTCCCCTGCTGCCTTTCCGTCTGGTGGCACCCCATAGTGTTCTGTGCCACGGCGCAGAAACAAGGGCGTGGCACGATCTCTGAAAGGATTTTTAATAACGAAATTGGCCGCCCCCTTGAATGTAAATTCGGGTTTTTTGGGACGCTTAGAGCCCAGAGATTGAGTTCGGACGGTAAATAGGCAATTTCGGAATCCACTTAAGTGCTTCTTTAACTATAGCAAGTAAAACCAATTTAACTACAAATAGAGCACTTGCACCGCTGGCTGGCCTTTTCATATTCTCGTTCTGGAGCATGTCTGAGCGACGAGTTCGTTGCAACTTCGACATCGTTCTTTGTTGATAGAGTAAACCTCTTGTTTACTGCATCTGGAAGAAAAGCAGTATGAAAGCAAATATAATTACAGCCTTGCTGAAACCATTGTATCCTTCAAGGGCAGCACGGGATATGAGATATGACAACATATACCTTCATCTGTTGGTTCAAGGGGTATGGAAACTAAATTCTACCGCCTATTTTATTGCTTAGATGTCGACTCGGCAATGACATCAGCTCGCAAAGGCGAATGTTTTCTTGAAAAGGACAAGAAAAGAAATGTTAAAACAAACTAAACTATCACCAAAGTGCACGTGGTCGATGTTTCCAAAACAGTGTTGTATGCTGTGACTACGAACACTGTAGTCATGACATGCCTTTTGACATATGAGTAGTGCTGCTCTCTGGAAGTTTAGGTCTACCTGTGGAAGTCGCCAACGCGTGAAGCGAAGTTTCGGCGGAGAAAGCAAGCGTAGAGCTGGCCATGATGAACCCGTTAGGTTGATTGCCCCGGTTGACCCAATGGCCAATCGGTTTCGGTGCGGCATTTATTTTGTTGGAAAGTGCAGGAGTGAAGAGCTTCTGTGGGTTTTTACGCCCAGATGCAGCACTATTGTGTGGCAGAGGACTGAAGTAACAGCGTGCCACATCGCGAGCTGCCGACGCATCAATTTCCAGGCGACGGATGTGTTTCGCACATCTTTTGTTGTCCATGTGAGTTCTAACAAATGATCGCTTGCGCTCTGATCACTTTCGTGATGAGGATTTCAAAAAGAGCCCCAGGTTAATGAAGTGTTTCGGTCCGACTATGCAGCCACCACAGTGTGGGCGGGCAGTTCGTCGAGCGACTAGTGCGGCTCTCAGATAGCTCGAAGGGCCGAGTTGTAATGTGCTGGCGCCACCGAGTAATAAAGGTGATAATTACGTCATAGAATAAAAAAAAGGTGAAAACAACCCACACAGAAAGAATAAAAGCACTGCAATGCACGAGGGACAGACAGTCACAGTTCCCTCGTCAATTTCAGTGTTTTTATTATTTCTGTGTAAACTGTAGTCTATCCCTTGTGCTCTGCTGTGAACCTTAAACGATCGTGACACAAATTTTAGTAATGAACTTCACAGAATTAAAAAAAGTGAAACTAACCAAACATGAGTTGACGAATGCAAAGCGTGCAGAACTCCTTCCACTTTTTTCTCTCCCACACGTACTCGGTACCTAGCTTATCAGTCAGCAGGTACGCGAGCATCCGTATCGTTGCAGTGTTGGGGTTTCGTCCACCAAGTTGAATTAGTTCCTTAACCTGGAAATTTCGAAGACGAAACACAAATTGGGTGTAGCATTTTGGAAGAACACAGCTAAGGCAAGTTCCTTTCTGACTATGAAAGCAGTTCTCGAGATCGCCTATTTCAAGAACAGAAGACATAACTAACCCATATTTATCATTTCCTTCTGCTATACCTTTTCATAGTGCAAACTGCAACCAGAAGCTTCGGAGTTTGATTAGTGCAAACTTTAAGACACCGTTTATTTGTGGTAGTTCCAGACAATTTATTAAACCTCATAAGTCTTCACAAAACCGAACTTTCTTGAAATAAATTGGTTGCATCTCAACACGTGGCAAGGAGCATCCTGAAGAACCGCTAGCTAAGTTGTGTATTTTACACACACAGGTGGCATGCACAACAGATACCGTCCCACAGCTAACAGCCCGAATGTATGGTATGCAAATGTGGACATACCAGATGAGCTTCGTCAGATGCACTCAGATCTACCTTGGTTCAACCGGAGCATGTAACAAGAATGCTCGCTGGAGACGATGAGAGCGTCAAGCGTGCTGGCAATCTGCTGCAAGCTCATTCTTATATCATTTTGTATCCTTAACACTTGGCCCTGAAATTCTGAAGAATAAATTAAAGTTACTTATTAGCAAGGTTGTGAAGTACCTAGGTACAGGTAGCTGTGCATTGGTAACTAGGTACTTTTTGTGTACCCGAGGTAAAAATGCTGACTCTTTTATTTCTGGGTAACTAACTCTATCTTAGGGATCATTTCTAGTAACATGAAACTATGACAAGTGACTTTTTTACAGGTACTTTTTTGGCATTTCTAATAAAATTAAGAAGGGTTCCAACCTGCAAAAGAAAGATCACTGTGGAGGAGTCATACCAAGACACTGAGGCTTAGACATTTCCCAACATCGGCATTTCATCCGGAGCAAACTGAAGAGTAACCACAAAACACTGTTGGTGTTAACATCTGGGTGAAGTGGTCTTTAATGAAGTAGTATAGAATGAGGTGAGCAGCCTGTTTATGCTGGTTGCGCAAGCTTTACTGTAAAGAAAAGTTCGTCAGTCGCCCATTGGCAGCTGCTCCCCGTGACGAGAGAGGACGTTGGGGGATGTCACAGTAAAGTTCGACCGATGAACTTCAGCGCACGCTCGGAGAATTGTGAACTTGGCCGTGACGTCAGATTGTCGTCATGATGAAGTTCTTTCTGTCAAGAAAAGTTTTGCATTTTGGGAGCTCAAAGTTGGTGAAGTTCATCAGGTAAAGGTAGCGGAATCCAGATGCGCTCTTCCCCTCCCAGTAACCCGACCGTACTTTTTGTTCTGAATACCATGCCGGCTTAAATTTCAGAGGATAGATGGGCTTGTCAGAAACTACCGGCGGCTAACAAAGGGAGTGACAAGATAGCTGTGCGCACAATAGCACATGTTGCGCGCCCTCCATAACATCTTTCAATAACCTCATTGAAAGAGGTTATAAACACTCAGAATGCCTGCATGTACAGCATTTGTACCTCTATGTACATAAGACAAACGAAGGGGAGACATAGAGCACCCATGAATAATGATGTTATGATAGACTTCCTTATTTCACCACATGATGTTAATACATGTTGGCAGCACACATTAAAAATCTTGCACGTTTAGGATGACAAAACTACTACTTGAGCCAGGAAACAAAGAGTGCCGGATAAAACGAGAAATATCATAACTCACCACACTCTGGCAAGGCAGTGGGCCCAAAGCATGAGCTTTGTCCTGCAATATTACGACAGGTGTGGTCAAGACAAAGCTTCGGCTTACACCAAGAACAGCTTTTCAACAGCAGCTACGTGTGTAAGCAAGCATCCCGACTGACGAGAAAAAGAGTAACAGTGTTACCAGAGTGTTTTGACACCCCATCTTGTGGTGTTCCACGTGGAGAAGGTTTAGCCAAGGCTTATCTTGTGCTATTAGGGTTTATATGCGTCAAAAGGTTCAGCTGACTCTGAGAGTTATGATTCTGAGAGTTATCTCCGAACCTTGTGAACAACTTACTTGGTCTTGATGACGCTGCGTAAAAAAAAAAAAAAAAAAAAAAAAAAAAACTCACCCCATTAGAAATATTAAAACACCCCAAAACAGGACAAATAATGGGGGCACTACCAGATTGCTTTATTTCTTTCAGTGTTGTTCACCCACAAACGAGCAATGAATACGCATCTCACTATGCGAGATCAATGGGACCGGTTTTCATGATCGGAAAAGCAGAGAAAAGTTATAACCAAGAACATACCAGCGAGAATCTACTCTGTCATTCAGACCTCAAAATTTGAATGAAAAAATTACCAAGGAAAATATGTGCTATTTCATTTATAGAAAAACAATCAATCCACTCTATACTCACCTTTTCTATGCTGGCTCACAGTTGGGGATTCCACAAGACATCCATCAGAGATAGGTAGCACAGGCTGCACATTAGTACAAAAAGGATCAAAACCAAAATTACTGTCAATAAAAACTTTGGTCTTGCACGATCTGTGTTTTGTTCGAACCTTTTGATAGAAACACGAAAAGCTGACACTCGAATGGCTTCAAATTATCAAAAAATTATAGTTGCAAATATAACTATATATTTTCACTGATTACCTTACCAGAAAGAACTGCAAGTCGTCAGAAAACAGTCATGTTCATGGCGGTCACACCGACGTGCGCGATGAGCGAGTCCAACGCCTTCGTTGGCGAGTCGTTTCTCGAAAACTCTCGCCCCCAACGCCGTTGATTGGCTCAGCCACTCAGCGACTAGATCTCATCACAAAAAGTCAGGTCAGCAAGCGACCGCTCAAAGCGCGTCGCTTTTTGCCCGCGATGGTCGCTTTTGCGATGAAAGTTATCACGCGACTAGATCGCATCGCCGGTGGGAACGCGCCTTCAGTTTTGCGACACGCGATGACCACACCAGCAGTACAGTGAACCGGCGCCAAGCGTGCACAGAAAAAAAAATAATTAGCGAGAAACCCAAGCGGTAGAGAGCCTCTGACAACTATCTACCTACTGCAACCATGACATGCATAGGACATCATTCTGCAGTGCTTGTAATTTCTTGTGCTTATTGTCACCCTTGAGATACAAGTTCGATTATGTTAAATTACCACAATAAAAGCTATGCCAGTGGCTGGTATGCCACCAGCTTGGCTCACAATCGTGCCAGTGCGCCCATCTAGAGCCATCACATCACATCCAAGCTATTTGAGTTTAGTAGATCGTGTTTTCAGGCCATGCCGTGTATGTGGGAGCTCGCGCTGCCACTTCAAGGCGTACTTTGAAGCGCGCGCGGTAGCAGGCCTTTGAAAAGTATCGACTAAAACTCGCTATCAAGAAACAAAAAACACTTACCGTAATACGTGTCGATTAGTGTTCCAGAGAATCGTTGGGAACAACAAAGTTAAAACTGGACCACGACAGGCTGCCAGAGAGCAAGCGCGCGTAAAGCAGTGGCGGCAGTTGCGGGGAAGCTGGAAAGCCACAATAGTTGGATTGGATTGGCTTAATTAAATTCGCCTATATTTTTTAGATTGTCTGTATTATTAGGTATGACAACATATTATACATTTAGTTTTGTACCCTTATAACGTCGAATTTGCAAATAAAAAAAATAAAGTCATTTTTTGCGCAAGTGTGCTTTAACATTGATCCTTCACAGTGGGCCCTGCGGAGATGCTGATTTGTTGATATGTGCGGTGGCTTTCTGTGCTTGATCAAATAAATCTTTCGTTCGTTTCTTACAACTCTGTCGGGCATTGTTAAGAATTCAGTTGAAGTTCCGCCTTTAGCGCGAGCTTTCTTCGCTGGACAAGTACGGCGAAAGACAAACCGGGAAACTGTTACGCTTGAGTCTTTATGTTGTGTCGTCTCTCATTTTTTCCGTCTCGGGGTTTGGTCTAAAATGTTATGCTTGTTTTCTAGCATAGCTCACGCGTCTGGTGCACCAATTCCAGCAAGCTCATTGACTGAACGAGACCGGTAGTGCGGGACGTACTGCCGACCTCCTGCGGATATCGTGGTTGGGACATCCGATTCAGGAAACTTGTACATAAGATGGATGTCCGTATTCGGCTTCGGACGTACGGATCTTGATCGGACATCCGTCGGATATTGGTGGCCCTCTGGGTGGCGAGCTACCTTACAGGTTGTCATTGTTCATATATTTTGTTAAAATCATTATTTCCCTCGATTACCCTGCTCGTCGCCCGCCCCGACTATGGATTTCTTGGCGGTTTTGTGTTCAGCAAGCCGCTGGGAGTGAGTGATCTCGCAAACCAGTGCACCTACAATGAAGAGGCCGGTATAAAACATAGAAAGTCCACGATCACCGTTTTTGAACTATCATAGTATACTAGCAAATTTCAGTTGACCTCTCCCAAAAACAGATCTTGTTGCAAAACGACGTTTGCGTGCGCAATTTCGGATATGATTCTCTAAAATTCAAAACTTCGCAAGGTGTGCGAAACCTGCTTGTTCTTAGGACCTCATCCGGTAAGTTTACATTTTAGTTCGTTTTACAGCTCAAATGTTTAAGTTATTAGGGCGTTGCCGGAGTATACAGACGGTTATGCATCTTAGGGAGTGTTACCTACCTTTCGCGTATGATGTACCGTGCGATTGCAGTAGGGACACGAAAAAGTATTTCAGTGCGACTTCAACCTGCAAATTAGTTTAACTTTATATCAGGGACTCACATCGTAACCGTAACCGAAACCAAAAACCGATTAGGAACAAATTTTTTTCAGTAACCGTAGCCGGAACGAAACCGCTATTCGAAATTATTGAAAACCGTAACCATAAATGCTTTGCCGGTAACCGATTTTAACCAATATTGACCGAAAAAAATATTAGTTTTTCTTAAGAATTACCTCAAGGAGATATATTGAAATGTCATGGCCATTTGATAGAGTTGCCATCAGCGATTGGTTCTCCTGGTAGTACATTTCCGTTCAATATAAATTTATAATTAAGAATACTTAGTTGGAATCAGTGGTCGAGCTTATAATGAAAACTACTTCTAAACCTGCCCCATCCCTATAATAGCTACATGTATACAGTACGCGTTGCCTTCAGGGTATTAACTAAAATGTTAGAATTTAAAGATGACCATTCTATTTGATTCCTTCAAGACTATCGCTCTTCCTGACCTGCACTAGCCAGATATCAATAAAAGAGATAAATTTACCATCATGTAGAGCTGGCGGAAAAAAAAACTTGGTATATATATATATATATAAATAGGGGCGATTTCATATCAACTTAGGCAGAAATTTAGGGTCGAATTTTTAATTTTGACGAAAAAAAATATAGGCTTTGCGGCGATTCCTATAATAAAAAAAGACACAAATGGCAATTTCGTCGGAATTTTTCTTGTCAAGTTATGGACCGTTGAGGCGGTCAAGGTGGAAACTGACGCTTTCCCAGCTTATCGGAGGTGCCATATTTCACTCCATCTCTTTTTCCTACTTTTTACGCTACATCAATATAACTTTTTGGGAACACTCTAGGCGTAGGCTTTTTCATGCTAATTAAGCGTCTAGGTCATAACATTCTTAATGATATTTTTATTTGTCGAACCGCCTCTCTGTGACGATATTTGACGAAGTTCAGCAAGCTGTGCAGTGTGACCTAATCAACATATTTTAATGATCTTTATATCACCGTAATGTTCAAAATTACGCTCTTTCTTTTGATTATGATTTCTATATGTTGCGAAAAGTAGATAAGCGTTACATGTGTCTGAATAACGAAAATTTTGAAAAACTGGCAAGTTTGGAATCGATTTTCTAAAGAAAGCCCGCTTTTTATTTTTCTTATTTTTTTTAATAGTTAGTTAACATAGTAGTCTATCAGAAACTACCAACAGAAATTGTAATATATTGTTTGTATGGCTGCTATTAAAACTCGAATCTCGTGCTATGAGCATTTTGAACGGGCCTTCGCACAGGCGCTCTGCTGAGCAGAATTTTGGCCTATGTAATGTTTTCTATTTATCGTTAGCAGTTACCTCGATATCCAACCATAAACAGTAATAAAATTCGAGGTAGTGTACTTAAAAACATTTACTTCCAAGTCCGTATCCATAAGTGTGGGCCACCCCCAGCCCTTACTTCCTCCTAATACGGGGGAATGCAGATCGTTAGAGAATTCCTCTGGGGCCTTTTGCTTTCGGCTTTGAGTTTGCAATACCGAACTTGACTTGTGATTGTCATATTTTCTTATGTCAAACAGATATGCAGTGCATATACATTATGTACGATTTGGTATATGAAGCTTAGGAAGTACGGTTTATTTTGTGCGCGTACGGACTCTTTCGTAAAATAACAAGCATTTCGTTGCGTGTAAGGCTTCCAACGTGTTAGTCATGTGTTGAGGTTTCATTTCTATTTTCACTGATTTATGCTGGATTACTTAAACTTTTTCCTCCTGACTTGAGTTTGTCCGGGAGTCTAGATGTTACATATCTCCTCCGTCAATACAGAGGGCGAAGCTCACACACCTTGCAAATCACGCCAGTCCAAAATAAATAAATATTGTTAGGATAAATATCTTTACTTCACTGGCTTTCACGCTCAGATACTGAGGTAAGTGCTAACATTAAATAGAAAACCTTACATAGGTCAAAATTGTGCTCAGCTGGGCGTCTATGCGAAGTCCTGTTCAAAACTCTCCGCTCACAGCGCGACATTCGAGTCCTAACAGCGGCCATACACACAATATATTACAATTTTTGTTGGTAGGTCCTGGCAGACTACTATATTACCTAACTGCAAACAAAAATGAAAGAAATAAAGGATACCATTTCGTCATTTACCCTGAGACTGGGTTTTTTTTTTGAAGAGCAGAAGTTTGAAGAGCAGAAGTAATCGACTTCAATCTTGCAAGTTTTTCTAATGAAAGACTTTCAAGTTTGA